GGGAATTAGTCCTTAGAGTCTGTAATTAGTTTCTTAAAATTTTCTATGTGCAAAATTTTGTTATCTGCAAATAGATGATTTTTGTATATCTATTCAGCTGATATACTCATATGCAGTTCTGGGTTTTTTTGTGATTGTCTGGTTTTGTTATCTATCTTAATATCAAAACTTGTTACTAGCCTCATGGAGTGAGTTGAGTTCAAGAGTGTTTTCTCTTTTTCTACTTTTTGGAAGATTTTGTGAAGAATTTATATTAATTCTTCTTTAAACATTCAGTAGAATTTATCAGTGAAGAAATCTGGGTCTGCACTTTTCTTTGTGGGAATTTTATACATTGTTAATCCAATATTTTTACTTGTTACAAGTCTATTCTGATTTTTCTATTTCTTCTGGAGTCAATTTCAATAGTGCATGTCTTTTTAGGAACATTTTCATCTCCTCCAAGTTATTTAATTTTCAGTTGTTGATACTATTTTATAATCCTTTTTTAATTCTGTAAGGCCTATATTGATATTCCTTCTGTCATTTCTGATTTTTATAATTTGAGTATTTTCTCTGTTTATCTTCTAGCTAAAGTTTTATTAATTTTGTAGACCTTTTCATGGAACCAACTTTTTATTTCTTTAATTTTCTCTATTGTTTTTCTATTGTCTCACATTTATTTCCGCTTTAATCTTTATTATTTCCTTCCTTATGTGCAGTTGGGATTCATTTGCTCTGCCTTTTCTAGTTTTTTTTTTTTTTAATGTGGAAGTTTAAGTTATTGATTTGAAACTTTTCTTCTTTACTAATTCAGGTATTCATATCTATAAATTGTCCTCTTAAGTACTACCTTAGCCATATCTCATAATTTGTTGTAAAATACAATCTTGATATGTGTATTTCTTTTGTTATTTATCTCAATATTTATATTTTAATGTTTTTCTTTGATTCATTCATTACTTAAGACTCTGTGGTTTAATTTTTACATATTTGTGAATTTACCAAAGTTTCTTCTATCGTTGCTAATTGAATTCTATTTTGTTCAGGGAACACATTTTGCATTATTTTAATCTTTTTCAAAATATTGAGGCTTCTTTCATGGTCTAGCATTTGGTCTGTCTGGAGAATATTCCTTATGTACATGAGAAGTACATAAGGAATATTGTGTAGGTGTCTAGTAGGTCAACTTGGTTTTAGTGTTTTTTGAGTCTTTCATATCTATGTTGATTTTCTGCCTCATTGTTTTATCTATGGTTAAAAGTGAAATTATACTTTTAAATGTGGAACCAAAATTTTTAAATATTGTCAGAATCTATAGCTCTTAAAGAATGGATTCATTATAGTAAGTATTGTCAAAGCCAAAACCTACTTAAAAATTTCACTGTATGAATATGAAAAAATTTTTAATATAATTACTTATTTATTTCTGGAAATATGTTGTTTTATATAAAACATATTTAATTTAAACCAATAGCTATTATTTTAAAATACCAGAATCATTTTCACCTATCAGTAGAAAATAAAGGTGTTCATCATAACCATTATTACCTTATAGTGAAAAAGCAGGTCAAGACAACTTGTCAAAAAATAAGTATAAATATTGGAAAAGAAAAAATATTAAATTTATTTCATATCATAGTATTCTTTCTCAAAGAGATTTAATTACAGATCTAGCCAAGAAGATAAGAGATCAAATGTGGCTAGTAAGAAAATCAGTATACAAGAATAAATTATTTTTCTGATAAATATGATAGCATCATTGTATGTAATATAAAAATATGAGAAACTGCTCTAAATGTCCCTCTAAAGTGATCATATACTTTGCTATATCCACACAGTGAAATATTAAGCATTCTCACAAAAAAAGTTATATATATATATATATATATATAAACACACACAATACATACATAAACATCTTGGAAAAGTGCAGTATGTTTTGAATGAAAAAGCCAAAGGTAGAAAAATGAGTACATAGTGGTTTCAAATATGTATTAAATATATACAAACTCTGGAAGTATATTTATATATGTTCACTATATATAGTATACATAATTTATTTATAAATTATATACAATGCATATAAAACTGTATCCTATTTTATATTTTAATTTCTACTTTGCACATTTTGTAGTATTTGACTATTTTACAATATGCAAACATTCCATTTGGAATTTTAGATATATAAATAAAGCTAGTTGTCATCCAAAAACAGCATAAAATATATTTCACAATTTCAAAGATAAAATGTTACTTGCATACCATAAATTAGAAGCCCCTGTTTTGTACAGTGTTATCTTTACTAAAGCAAAAAAATCTATTTTTATACTATTTTCTGAAATATTAGAGCTAATGTCAAATTCCTCCCCTTCTCATATCTCAATTAATGTCAGGTCTTCCCCTAATTTAATGTTTAATTCCTATCAATTGTGATTAAGCATCATTTTTTGACACAACCTGTGATGGTGTCAAGGTTTTTTTATGAGGAATTAATTTTATTTTGTAAGTAATTTTCCAGACATTTAGTATACTTGCTTTGGAAGTTGAGAAGCAGGTAATATCTCTTTGATCACTTTAGATATGCTTCCAAGAAGTACTGGTGTTAGATGTCATAACTAGCAACCTGGAAAAGTAAACATGCTGCAATAAAAGAATAACTCAAGAAAGAACAGCCAGGTGTGTATGCTTGTCTTTAACTTGCATGCTTTGAGGTTTGGGGAAGATATGTTAACTTCCCTAAGCTTTGTGGCCTCATCATGAGATAGTGACACTATTGCCATATTACAGGATTTTAGAGAGATACTGTATGTGAATTAGCTGATGCCCAATACATTGCTACATTTTTAAGTGCCCATTTTAGAAGTCCCTGGGGCAATAAAAAGTTGACATAATGTGAAATTTAGAATATTTGAAAATTCGGCAGGCATAAAAATATATGAAAATGATGAAATAATTTGTTGGATTAAACGAAATGTAATTTTGCCTTTTTTGCTGTATCTCTGTTCTTAAATCCCAATCATGAACCTGTTTGAGGACTTCAGTGCAATATAAAAGTACATGCTTCTATCCTGCTGCACCTCCTTTTATATAATTTTCCTATTCATGGATTTAAAATGTATATGGAATCATATTATACATGTCATGTTCTAAATCGAGTGCAACAGGAGTAGAGAGGCTAAGAATATAGAGAAATACTTACCTTGGTAGATTTTGCTACCTAGTAGAAAAATCACCAGGAACACGAACACACTGCACATATACACACTACACAGCCACACACACACGCACACACAGATACATGCCTGGTATATCAGATATATTTATCTTACTTTGCTTCCAAATTTAGAAAAAGCAGGTTGCTAACAACAAAATCATCCTCCATAAGCTTTTAAAATACATTTTCTGAATGAAAACTCCTCTAGAGGCTCAAGTAGTAAAATAAAGCCTGATGTCAGTATTATAATGATTGTGTATTTTGCCCAGCAAATGTGAACACATAAATATATAAAGACAAGTGACATGCCTTTATTTTCTTCAGACCTTGATTCTACAACCCTGTGAGAGAAAAACTCTCCTAATATTCTCCTGTGAGGAGAAATATGTGTTTTAAAATTTCTTCTTGCTTTAATTTTCTATCAAAAATGTATAAATCTGATAAAAGACTATGGAGCTACATCAGTCATCCCAGAGAAATTTTGAAAGTGGCTGGATTTAAGCTGTGAAAGAAAACAAACTAAGCATTTGAGCATTCAAGACAGCCTGCCTGCAGGTCAAACATAAAATGCCTGGCTTCCAGGGTTTTCTACCTACCTGGAATTCTTAGTGGGTGAAAAAAGTACAATGAACTGGTATATGGGACTAATAGACTCTCATAGCCTATTTTGTCAGGGTGTAAATTTAATTATCAATGATCTCAACTCTTGCCATCAGATTTAATCTGTAAACAACTATGATGGATATATTTAAATATAATTTGTGACTGTTTAATATTCCTTCCACTAAAATTAAAAACTGAATTTGGGAAGATTAAATGAGTGACTAAACCCAAAGATCCCACAAGCAGGTAATTTTTATTAGTCTATGTAAAATATGTGTATGCCTAATATGCTTTAAATTCACGGATCCATTCATAAAAATTGATTCAACCAAACTGATTTCCTAGAATGTGGTTCACTCCTGAACACACTTTGTCATTCACCTTGAGCTGTAGATTTCAAATGTTCTTCATATAGAATAAAAAGTGGACGTAAAAACCAAGGAAAAGCAAGATAATGTCTGACATTCCCCAATCTTCTTCTTCTTCAAATCAAGCTGGTTAGTAACAGGGACAAGACATGACTAGTATTCTTACTAAATATTAAGAGCTTGGCCATTCTTCTAAGATTTGGAAAAGTATTGGAATTCCCTTGGGATAGCAAAGAAATCTGGCATCTCTAAATGGGCATTGATATGACACTCCATTCAACCCAAAATTAGTCCATGTTATTATCTGGACCAGTAGACTGACTTTCAAACCCATTTTTAATTTTGTAAAATGTTCTTTATGCTAAAGCAAACATATAAGTTAAAGCAAAGAAAGAAGATAAACCAAGATATCCTGATTGATTGCATAGGCCCTACTTTTAAACTCTGTTTATCTACTGCCTTGATAGTCCCAAATACTCAGCTTTGCAGAAAAGCATTTAAATACAGAAGAAGAAAATAGTATTTAATAACTCAACAGGGTCTGAAGATTAATGTGAAGCCATAACACAAGGCTTGCCACTGGAAAATGTGAGTGCAGTATGTTGGAGTTTTTTCTGTTTTGCTTTATCTACAACAGAGGGCTTTATTTATTTTGAAAGATTCAGTGAAATGTTGCCTATGAAATAATGTTATATAAAAAGGTGAACATAAAAAGACACATAGCACCCAATTCCAATACAGCAAAAAANAAAAAAAAAAAAAAAAAAAAAAAAAAAAAAAAAAAAAAAAAAAAAAAAAAAAAAAAAAAAAAAAAAAAAAAAAAAAAAAAAAAAAAAAAAACATGATATGAAAGATCCTGTTGAAAATGTTGAAAAGGGGCCATTTTCCACTAGTAGAATAATAGGTAACCCCTCTGTCTTCTTCATCCTATTGCCCTGTATCTTGAAAATTCTCTACAATGAACATACAATAATTTTGTGCTATATCTCATTATTTTAACATAATATATGAAAATGCAAAAAAACAGTAAAAGTATCCAAAATTCTGTAATTCCGCAGTTTCAACAATATCAAATGTGTTCATACTCCAGTACATTTTGCACTCACTTGCTAAAGAACCTTCTGTTCAGTAGGTGTTTTACTGCCTCCTTCACATCCTTGTTTCTAAGACTGTAGATTAAAGGATTCATCATGGGAGCCATCACCCCATAGAACATGGATATAATTTTGTCAGTAGCATCCAAGTCATCTGAATTAAGTGTCCCTTTAGACTTGGGCTTCATGTACATGAACAGGATGGTCCCATAGAATATTATGACCACAGTCAGATGAGCTGAGCAGGTGGAGAAAGCTTTCCTTCTCCCCTCAGAGGAGCGAATCTCGAGGATGCTAGAAATGATTAATGAGTAAGAGATAACAATCAAGAGCAGTGGCATCAATGTGAACAATATTGTGGCCACGAGCATGATGAACTCATTGCCTGAGATGTCAGCACAGGCCAGTTTCATGACAGCTAGAATTTCACAGGAGAAATGATTGATGATGTTATTCCTGCAGAAAGGCAACTGTACCACAAACACTGTTTGTACTGCCGAGTTGACAGCTCCTATGATCCAGGACCCAGCTGCCATGGATACATAGGCATCCTTGCTCATGATGATGGGATATCTCAGAGGGTTGCAGATAGCCACATAGCAGTCAAAGGCCATCACGCCCAGGAGCACACACTCTGTTGTCCCCATGGCCAAGCCAAGGAACATCTGCACTGCACAGCCAGAAAAGGAAATGGTCTTTCTTTCTGAAAGGAAGCTCCCCAGCGTGGAGGGAATAGAGGTGGTGGTGTAGCAGATGTCCAAGAAGGAAAGGTTCCCCAGAAAGAAGTACATAGGGGTGTGAAGGTGAGGGTCCAAGATGTTGATTAAAATGAGAGTAGCATTGCCCAGAAGGATGACCGCATACATTATGAAGATGAGCACAAAAAAGAGTAACTCAAGCCTCGGGTAACCAGAAAGTCCCTTCAGAAAAAATTCCACCAGAATGGTTTGGTTTTCCCATTTCATTTTACTGTCTCTTTTACCTGTAAAAAGTCAAAAAAAAATTTAATATAATTTATTTACATGAAATAAATTAAAGGTAAATAATTTTAATGTAAATTAAAATTTTATTTATAAAAAATTATTAATGTAATTTATTTACATGAAATAAATTATATCAAAATTTACATTAAAATTATTTACATTTAATTTATTATATGTAATACATTATATTATTTATATAATATAATTTATTCCAAATCCATGTATACCAATGCACTCATATAAAAATTTGCCATGAACCTAATAAAAGTATTGAAGAAAGAGAAAAAATAGGGAAGAGGAGAAAGGAACATAGGGAAAGAGAATGAAAGAAATAAACAATGCAGAAAGAGAAATATCAGGGGAAGCTATGATATTGATCACTCATTCTGGGCCAGAAAATTTGTGATTTTTTTTACATGTTACTTCATTTAAACTCCACATTATCATTTGAAAGATTAGAAAACCTAAAGTGAGAGAGTTCAGCCTAAAGTCATATAACTAATGTATAGCACAGCCTAGGCTCCAAGACTACCTGCTTGTGTCCCAACTTGCCTGAGGCTTTTCAATGAATTATAAAAGCAATACAGAGTATATTGTATAAGAGATTTGGTAATTTACTTTAAAACCTCACTCCCAGGTCAGGAGAACTCAACAATAATCCATGTGTATTCCAACACTGAACGAAGTGTGTCAATCTGGGGGGAGAATCATCAGAAATGAACCCAACCAGTGATTACTGCATTCCTGATTATCCAGAAAATATGTCCTATTCATGTAAAGCCCAATAATCCAAAATCTTCGTGTTAAAGGGCAAACACCTTTTTCTTTGATTAGGGGTGGAAATTTTTTGTTTGCTTCTTTAAATTATCATACAGTTAGATGTCATATCATAAACTGACTCTTTACCTTTTAGTGTATGGTTCTATGAATTTTAAAACATGTATAGATTCATATAACCACCACAACCAGAACACAGATCTCTTCTATTAGCTTAAAATAATTACTTGTAATATCCTTTTCTTAGTCACCTCTGCCACCTATCCATACATCCTGGTAACCACTGATATTTTCTATTCCTATAGTTTCACCTTTACCAGAATGTCATGTAAATAGAGTCATATGCGCCACTGGAGTTGGGCTTCTTTCACTTAGCATAAAGCCTCTGAGATCCATTCAAGTTGTTATTGCTAAATAGTATTCTTTTGGCTAGATTACTGCATTTTGCCTATCTGTTCACCTTTTGAAGGACATTTGGATTGTTTCCAGTTTTTGGCAATTATGAACAGAGCTACTATAAGTATTTCTGCCCCAATTTTTATATGACCATAAGCTTTCATGTTTTTAGAATAAATAACCAGGAATGAGATAATAAGCATGTTTACATGTATAAGAAGCTGCCAAACACTTTTCTAGAGTGGTTGTACCAGTTTTGCATTTCAACTAGCAATGTATGAGAACTCCGCTTGCTTCCCATGCCATCACTTAATATTGTCAGTAATTTTTTATCCATTCTGATGGTTATATAGTCACATTTAATAATGATTTATTTTACATTTCCTTGATGACTAATAATGTTGAACATCTTTCTATATTATTTTTTCCATTCTTTAGTAAAGTATCTGTTCGTATCTTTTGCCCCATTTTTTAACAAATGGGGGTCTCGCTATTTCGCCCAGCCTGTCCCCAAATTCCTGGCCTCAAGTCATTCCCCCACCTCAGCCTCCTAAGTAGCTGAGACTGTAGATTCATATAACCACCAACTTAACCAGAATACAGAACTACAGGTATGCACCACCATGCTGGTTCTATTGCTCATTTTTAATTGAGGTTTCCTTTTTCTTGTTATTGAGTTTTGAGAGTTTTTTTTTAATATATTCTGGATATAAGTTATTTTTCATGTGATTTGCATATATTGTCTCCCAGTAGCTGATCTGTCTTCTCATTCGCTAATGCAAACAGCTTTCAGTAGCCATTTTAATTGGTTGCTGCCTAAGTCCAAATTGAACATGATGCAAGGAAAGCCTATGACTAAAGAGACATCTAACAGCACATCTCATTTAGGTGATACTGCAGAAAAATATGTTTATTGCAGCACTGTTCACAATAGCAAAGACTTGGAACCAACCCAAATGCCCATCATTGATAGACTGGTTAAAGAAAATATGGCACATATACACCATGGAATACTATGCAGCCATGAAAAGGATGAGTGCATGTCCTTTGCAGGGATATGGATAAAGCTGGAAACCATCATTCTCAGAAGACTGACACAAGAACAGAAAGCCAAACATTGCATGTTCTCACTCATAAGTGGGTATTGAACAATGAGAAAACATGGACACAGGGAGGGGAACATCATACACTGGGGCCTGTTGGCGGGGTGGGAAGCTAGGGGAGGGATTGTAGGGGATGGGGGGATGGGGAGGGATACCATTAGGAGATATATCTAATGTAGATGACGGGGTGATGGATGCAGCAAACCACCATGGCACATGTTTATCTTTGTAACAAACCTGCACATTCTGCACATGTACCCCAGAACTTAAAGTATAATAAAAAATGAAAAATATCCACTGGAAAATAGCCATTCCTTGGGAACGGAAATGGTGGGTTTTGCTTCCAAAAACCTTGCCTCCGAAAGTCTCAAGCCATCTCTTTTCATTTTTCCTCTGTAACAGTCCTTTCCTCCAACTCCACCACCCCTCTACACAAACAAATTTCCAGTAGTATCCTTGTCCATCGATGCAGACGCCATTGAAAATGCCCCAGTTGGTTCACAAAACAAAAAGTAATTTCTGAAAACAAACCAGGCACTTAACACATAGGCCATTTTTCCTTATTCACAAAACTTGGTACAAGTTTAAGGTCTAAATTGAGTCCTTTGAACTTATTTCAACCAACTTCTAACTAACCAGATCTGCCTTTGGCCATTATAAGGGTATTTCTCCTTTCATCCTATTTTGCCCTGATTTCCATCAACTCCACTTTTTACACTTTGGAATTTTTTATACCCTAGAAATACATCCTTTTTTATCTAAATCCCAGATTCACTTTCTTAATGCTATGTTATAAGTAAAGCCACCTCAATTCCAATTCCCTGGTAAATGATGACTGAAAAGCAATTTCATGGTAAGAAACATTCTTCTAACCACTGCCATGATGCAGCTATTATTGTGTCAAGTCCACTTTGCCTAATAGAGGGAACATGCGCTTAAATCCTATCTTGACCAGTTACTAGCTATGACCATGGGCAATGTATAACTTCTCTGAATCTCATCTACAACATGGGGGTCTTAACAGGCTTATAATGGGATTCTTGGGAGAATAAATAGGCAATGCATGTAAAGTACATAGCATGTAGTAAGCACTACTTTAGTTTCTTCTTTTCTTCTGTTGACTTGTTCTTCTCTCAATCAAGTTCTTTTATATCTCTGTCCCTAGTATCAACCGCTGCACAAGTATCTTTGGAATTTCATTAATCAGACTTTCTCAGGTATCAAGTCTCTTTTCATCTAACTCAACCTACTATTTTCTTTTTACCACATCCATGATATGAGATAGATGTGCATTATACCAATGTGTACTCACTTTGCAGGGAATAGTGTTATACCACTATAACAAAAGTCCACTGCAGTTTAAAACAAGGGACATACAGGGTGACATATTTAAATAGAGGCTATTTCAGTTCATTCATCTAAAATGTAAATGTGTGCTTGTATATCTCACAAGTATTAGATCTAAAGTCATCATACAAATGCATTGCCAGCAACAAAAAACATTAAAAATATTCAAACATCTCCAAAATACTCATGCAAGCATAAAAAGTCAAAATTCTTCCTACTAGCTAAAGACTCATTGCTCCTCTTTATTTATATTTTCACAAATTCAAAGATATATTCAAGAACAAGTAATAAAATGTTTGGGTTTCAAATAGTACACCTAGTTAGAGGCTGTGGGACAGGGGCTATGCTAGAATATTGTCTACTCATGATTACTACTGGACGGACATTTGCTAAACTGAACAAAATAAACCTGAATTGGTGCTGTGATTTAAGTGGCCACAGAAACAGAACTTTGGTGATAACAGACTGCTCTGTATTCTGGATCAAGAGTAAAGATCGGCTGCCTATTGAGCAGCAGAAGAAAGATGACATTGTTAGATGCATACACGTGTGCTTGTAATAAAGTGAGGACCACAGAGCTATATTATATACTGTTATTTATATAGTTATATAACTTTATTTCCAGTTAGAAATTATAAACATATTCTGCAGTAGGACTGTTGAAAAAAACTATAGATCTAAACATCATCTGTTTTGAATGTTAAAATTACTTACTTTGTTGGTAATATTTTTTCTTTTTTTTTCAATTTTCTGATTATATCTGAAACAATCCTCTTGGATTTTTGAAACTATTTCCTGTATACTTTCTCTAATAAGAAATATCACATTTTCAAAACACATGGCTTATTTCAATTCATTTCATAAGGCTGACACCCACCCTTAGATTTGTGTTAGTAATATGCCTTCAGCAATTACCTCTAAATGGAATGTTGGCTCATTTCCTAGGTTGCAATGCACAGCAGAATAGTTTGCCTTGATCTTCTACTTTTAGGCTGTCCAGCAAAATTTTCTGTGAAGCTGATGGATTTCTGAAGAAGGGGGTCACTGCTTGGAAGCCATAATGGCACAGGTTAAATTATCTGTAAAATATTGATAACAAAGGTGTTATTTCTAAATTGTTTCAAAACTCCATACATTACATCAGATACATTTACAAAGGGAGGGTACTTTGGTTCTGCTTGTTCAAATGTAAGAGGAGAACAAAATATTGGGCAGTTCAATTTGTGAATATGGCACATTTCATTTGTCCCTGAAGCCCATGTGGAAACATTGTCCCATTGAGATGACCCAGGAAATTCTCTGAAGAATCTTCCTTAGGCTCAGGGAGGCAATTTAAATATTTCCTGCTCTCAGGGACTTCTGCAAATTTCTAAGCCATAACTTTAAATTGCTCCAGGCAAAATATATTCAAAATTTTTAGAAGTTTCAAGAACAATGCCCTAAAGACTTAATTATATGAGACCCATTATTGTACTTTACATAATCAATCAGAAGCCTTGAAGACATGTCTTATACCATTTTCAATCTGCTACTATATACTGCTGAGATCCTTTCTCCAAATACATTCTAATGACTTGGTCCAGACCTTTGTTCATCCTATCATGTTGTCTTGTATGGAGTACAGCAGAAAGAACTCAGGCTACATTAAGTCTTGGATATTAACAATAGTAACACAGAATATAAATTTCCAGGCATCATTACAAAGGTTTTATAGATATTATGTCATTTAATTTGTTTTTGTTAAATTAGTAAGTAAAGAAAAAGCAAGTTTAATGTACAACTAATCTAGAAATAATTGTATTTTTCTCTGAAATTTATAATTTACATGTTATTGCAAATGTGGGTGGCATTTTGAAATTCACAAATTCAGAAATTTTTAAATCATACAATTAAAATGTAGAAGCTATTAAGCTATTCAACTTTTTTTACTGTAATTCCAGAAGCTAATTTGTAACTTCTTCTCACTCCATGCTGTAGGAATTTCCAAAAAATTTACCTAAACAGAAATATCTATTCCCCATATTTATTGGCATAAAAGTCTTACCTAATTTACCATGAGAGAAGGTGTTAGGAAAGCCATCCCAGCTCACAAGGAATTGCTTTCTGGCCATCCTCTTAAGTTCTGATATGTCACCATGTGGCTAAGCTTTTGATATAGTTTGGCTGTGTCCCCACCCAAATCTCAACTTGAATTGTAACTACCAGAATTCCAATATTGTGGGAGGGACCCACTGGGAGGTAATTGAATCATAGAGGCCAGTCTTTTGCATGCTATTCTTATGATAGTGAATAAGTCTCATGAGATCTGATGGGTTTATCAGGGGTTTCTGCTTTTGCTTCTTCCTCATTTTCGCTTGCTGCCACCATGTAAGAAGTGCCTTTCTCCTCACACCAGGATTCTGAAGCCTTCCTAGCCATGTGGAACTGTAAGTCCAATTAAACCTCTTTTGCTTTGCACTCTCAGTTATGTTTTTATTAGCAGCGGGAAAATGGACTAATACAGTAAATTGATACCAGTAGAGTGGGGCGTTGCTGAAAAGATCTCCGAAAATGTGGAAGCAACTTCGGAACTGGGTTTCAAGCAAAGGGTGGAACAGTTTGGAGGGCTCAGAAGAAAACAGGATACAGACTTGTTGAATGGCTTTGCCCAAAATGTTGATAGCGATATGGACAATAAGGTCCAATCTGAGGTGGTCTTAGACAGAAATGAGGAACTTGTTGGGAGCTGGAGCAAAGGTGACTCTTGTCATGTTTTCGCAAAGGGACTGGTGGCATTTTGCCCCTGCCCTAGAGATTTGTGGAACTTTGAACTTGAGAGAGATGATTTAGGTTATTTGGCAGAAGAACTGTCTAAGCAGCAAGGCACTCACTAAGTGGCTTGGGTGCTATTAAAGGCATTCAGTCTTATAAGGGAAGCAAAGCATAAGTTTGGAAACTTTGCAGGCTGACAATGTGATAGAAAAGAAAAAACTATTTTCTGAGGAGAAATTCAAGCTGGCTGCTGAATTTTGCATAAGTAACAAGGAGCCAAATATTAATCCTTAAGACAATGGGGAAATTGTCTCTAGGGCATGTCAGAGGTTTTCACAACAGCCCCCCCCATCACAGGTGAGAGGCCTAGAAGAAAATGGTTCTGTGGGCCAGGGCCAGGGACCCCCTGTTGGGTGCAGCCTAGGGACTTGGTGTTCTGCATGCCAGCTGCTCCAGCGGTGGCTAAAAAGGGCCAATGTAGAGATCAGGCCATGACTTCCGAGAGTGGAAGCCACAAGCCTTGGCAGCTCCCTCATGGTGTTGAGCCTGCAAGTGCACAGAAATCAAGAATTGGAGTTTGGAAACCGCCACCTAGATTTCAGAAAATGTATGGAAACACCTGGATGCTCAGGTAGAAATTTGCTGCAGGGGCGGGGCCCTCGTGGAGAACCTCTGCTAGGGCAGTGCAAAAGAGATATGTGGTGTCAGAACCCCCACACAGAGTCCCTACTGGGACACTGCAGAGTGGAGCTGTGAGAAGAGGGCCACTGTTCTCCAGGCCCCAGAACGGTAGATCCACTGACAGTTTGCACTATGCACCTGGAAAAGCCGCAGACACTCAATACCAGTCTGCGAAAGGAGCCAGGAGAAAGGCTGTACCCTGCAAAGCCACAGGGGCAGAGTTGCCCAAGATCGTGGGAATGCACCTCTTGCATCAGTGTGACCTGGATGTGAGATCTGGAGTCAAAGGAGATCATTTTGGAGCTTTAGAATTTGACTGCCCTGCTGGATTTCAGACTTGCATGGGCCCTGTAACCCCTTGTTTTGTCCAATTTCTCCAATTTGGAATGGTTGTGTTTACCCAAAACCTGTACCCCCATTCTATCTAGGAAGTGACTAGCTTGCTTTTGATTTTACTGGCTCATGGGCGAAAGAGACTTCCTTGACGGGGATGAGACTTTGGACTGTGGACTTTTGGCTTAATGCTGAAATGAGTTAAGACTTTAGGCAAGTGTTGGGAAGGCATGATTGGTTTTGAAATGTGAGGACATGAGATTTGGAGGGGCCAGGGTGGTATTATATGGTTTGGCTGTGTCCCCACCCAAATCTCAACTTCAATTGTATCTCCCAGTATTCCCACGTGTTGTAGGAGTAACGTGGGGGAGGTAATTGAATCATGGGGGCTGGTCTTTCCTATGCTATTCTCATGATAGTGAATAAGTCCATGAGATCTGATGGGTTTATCAAAGGTTTCTGCTTTCACTTCTTCCTCATTTAATCCTGCCACCACCATGTAAGAAGTGCCTTTTGCCTCCCACCACGATTCTGAGGCATCCCCAGCCACGAGGAACTGTAAGTACAATTAAACCTCTTTTCCTTCCCAGACTCAGGTATGTCTTTATCAGCAGCATGAAAACAGGCTAATATAGCTTCCCTCCTAAGAACAAAGTGGTTTTGGAATTCTGTGCTTTGTTTCATAACTATGTACTTTTTTTATATTGAGACAAAGTCTCACTTTGTTGCCAGGTGTGATCTCGGCTCACTACAACCTCTGCCTCCCAGGTTCAAGCAATTCTCCTGCCTCAGCCTACCAAGTAGCTAGGACTACAAGTGCACACCACCAGGCCCAGCTACTTTTTGTTTTTTTAGGAGAGATGGAGTTTCACCATGTTGACCAGGATGGCCTCAATCTCTTGACCTTGTGACCCACCCATCTTGGCCCCAAAAAGTGCTAGAATTACAGGCATGAACCACCACGCCCGGCCTACTTCTTTTCAAGAAATAAAAAGGTAAGTTCTCGGAAGGCTCTCTACTCATTTTTTCCCTCCTCATTCTTGCCAAGTTGAACCTGTAAATTCAATATCTAGCATTACTTAAGTAAAGCCTCCAAATCAGTCATATCAGAACAGTTTCAAGTTAATGAGATTGTTCACTTACTTTGTTTGGCAAAATTTTTAGTTACTATTTTTTAACCTATTTCATTAAACCTAGGATACAGATAATACTTCTATAAAATTGAATGATCTATTAAAAAGTCCCTCCATCAGAAAATTTTTAAAAGTACAGTTATTTCTTCTGATATAACTTAGGATGTGAAAAACATCCTAATGAGCATGCAGTGCAGCTCAGCCTCTATGTGTGATCTCCAGAAATTGCCTATTTAAATTAAGATTTGATGATTTTTACTGAGCCTTTCTAATATAATTATGTACCTGCTTCCATTCTTTTTTTTGAATTACATTTTTCTTTTATTCATATGTATCCGTATTTATTTTAGAAACTTAGAAATTTCAGTAAAGATACTAAGATTAATTTTTTTAATATCTCTTTTCAGCCTTTATTCTGAGTAAGTTTTCTTGCTTTAGGATTTGGTTTTGCAAACAATGCTAAATACTGTTTTTGTTTTTCTTTTAACTATATTAACATATGTTTATATTAATATAAATTCTTCAAAACTATCATTTGTTACAAATATTCCATTAAATAAAAATACTATGATGATTTTATATTTCCCTTTCATCACAATAGACAAGTATAAAAATCATAACAAAATTATCCAATCCTCCAAGTCCTATAAAAATAATTTATTAGGGACTCCTTATAGTCCTAAATTTTCATTATCTTTACCCAAACAGATTATAAGACTTCACCTTAAAGAAGAAAACATAAATGCCAGAAGTCTCTAGCACAAAGTATTGAAACACAGTTCTATTTATTTATTTATTGAGACGGAGTCTCGCCCTGTCACCAGGCTGGAGTTCAGTGGTGCAATCTAGGCTCACTGCAACCTCCGCCTCCCACGTTCAAGCGATTCTCCTGCCTCAGCCTCCCAAGTAGCTAGAACCACAGGCATGTGCCACCACACCCAGCTAATTTTCGTATTTTTACTAGAGACAGGGTTTCACCACATTGGCCAGTATGGTCTCGATCTCTTTGACCTTATGATCTGCCCTCCTTGGCCTCCCAAAATGCTGGGATTATAGATGTAAGCCACCACACCCGGCCCAACAGTGCTTTTTCAATGATCAAACACTTGGAATCTATCAACTGCTTTTTTGAAAAGTTACACTAGCATTACAAGAGAAATACAAATAATGGCCTCTATGCT